AAATATATGAACCCGGATTATTTGCTCAGTAAATGTTGCTGTACATTTTGCTGGAATCGGGAGAGGGGCCGACTGGAAAAGGGGCCAGAAAGTCTGGAACGGGGAGATTAGATGCTGGGGGGTGGCGTGTTAGGAGAGCCTTCATCTGTTGCGTCTCGTCTCCCAACCTAAACCTGTGGCTCAGGACCATAAGCGCCTGCTTAAATTTCCTGAGAGCTCCAAGAGACCAGGAACGGAAGTGCGGGCGCTTTCGCCGGGGAGTTAGCAGGCAGCGGCTTCGCCTCCCTTTGCAACGCCTCGCCCTTAAACAGAGTTGTTAGGCAGGAAATCCCATTGATTTCGATGGAGCTGGGCCGCCGAGCCTCCTCCAGTGAAATCAATGAGAACTTCCAAGTGAATGCGTTTAAAGTGGGTCACGGCTGGTTTAGCCCCGACGCTAAGTAAACTACAGAGTGAGGCCACTGGGCCTCACTTAAAGAGGGAAGCCCTTGGGAAGGCCCGGTGAACGGGGCGTCTCGCTACAAGAAAGGAACAATCTAGCCGCTGTGGCCCATCGGGGTTTTGCCTTCCTGGCTTCCCAGTTCCTACACTGCAAGGAGACAGATCGGGAATGCAGAAACGCGGGCCGAATGTACAGGGAAAATCTGCGCCGGATGCTCTACAAGGGTTTAGAATTCGTGTATCCAGAGCCTCTCCGTGTAACCCGCCCCGCCCCCAGTGTATCTCTCCCAGACATCTTGCGCCAGGTTGCTTTGAAATGCCTTGCAGCTCAAAGGGAAGTGACTGTTCTGCTGACATCGGGGACCGACCCAGTGGTCTGGGGCCCTATTTGGAGATAGGATCGGCAGATGCCTGGCGTGTACCAGGGGCAGGGCGACTAGTGGGTCTCAGGGGGATAAAGGTGTGTGTGTCATGCCCCGAGGAATGGCCCCAGCCAGAATCAACAGGAGCCCGGCGGCTCCTTCGAGACAAACCAGATGGAACTCTACCTTCAGCTTAGCTTAGGTGTGTTTGTATCTGCAGTCCATGAACGACGACGGGGGCAAAGCGTTGCTTTGAAGTGCCGCAAGGTCCCTGCCTCCTTTCTCGGCCAGATCTGAACACGAGTTCCTCTCTGGAAGCCCTCCTGACCAGACCTCGGCTGGCTCCCTTTGATCCAAAGCTGCAGCAGAGCGCTCCATCAGCAGCCCTTGGTCGGGAAGGCGAAAGGCCGTCATGACGGCCAGTTGTGGGACCCTCTATGATAGCTGCTTGCGTTGCTTTTTAACTTGTTTGCACATCCGTCATCCGGAAGTCGAGGTTCTGACATGCTCTTCCTTAGCCTGCTGCAGTGTTACGCCCGCGGGTTGTCCTTGTTTGGAGGGGGGATTCAATCGGAAGTTTTCCTGCCTACATTAAAGTGACAGGAATAGCACCATCGATTTCGAACAAATTCCACGCCAAATCA